AAAAATAAGTACAAAAGATTTACTAAAATCTGATCATCCTCCTATTCTAATAATCAAGAAGAGCATCGAGCTGTCCATTATATTATTAGTGAAGAGAGTTCAACCACAGTTCAAGTTTAAAAAAAATGAAACAGGATTATAAACTTGAGGTTTTTTTTACAACAATACGATGAGTATTTAAAAATAATAGTTTAAAATCAGCAGTTAAAGAAAAAAATTATTGTTATTATTTTAACATAAAAAAGCATGTTTAGAATTTGCAAAAAATTATAAAACTTGGAATTTTGATGATTAGTGTAAAGTAATATGGTCAGATGAAAGTAAGTTTAATTTATTTAGTTCAGATGAAAGAGAATATTGTTGGAAAAAAAAGGGAAACTCTTGAAAGATCAATATGTAAAAGGAATAGTAAAGTTTGAAGGTAGAGGAATTTTTGTATGGGAATATTTTACAGCTCACGAAATTAGTTATTTATGTAAAATTGATGGTGAAATGGATGCCGCTCTTTATTATCAAATATTAGAAGAGAATTTATTACAAACTCTTAAATCTTATGATTATGATGTTAACGATATCATCTTTCAACATGATAACAATCTGAAACATAAGGCTTATATAACAAAAGATTGGTTTGAAAGAAATAATGTCACTATATTAGATTGGTCAGCACAATCATCTAACCTAAATCCTATTAAACATATGTGAAATGAACTAGATAGAAGATTACGACGCTCAGATAAACTGATAAGAAATAAAGAATATTTATGGGAAAAAATAAAGATGGTTTAGAATGAAATTGAAATTGATGTTTATATCAAATTAATTTAAACAATACCTTAAAGAATTCAAGATATATATAAACAAAAAGGTAGATATACTAGATGGTAATATTAAGTAAGCTTTTAAATTTTTATCAAATAAATAAAGGTATTTTTTTTTGAAATTTAATAATTTTTTAAATTAATTATAATTTTTTTGAAATTTTTTTTAAAAAATATTTAAATTTATATTAAAAAATAGCTAAAATTTAATTTATAAATGTAATTTTTTAAATTTTTTTAAAAAATTTTAAAAATTTCAAATAATAAAGAATAAGATTAGACTTATAATAAAATTGTTAAAATTTATAAATCAAACTTTTTTTTTAAATTAAAATAACTTTGAAATATTTTATTTAAAGTAATATAAAGTTTATATATTTAAGTAGCTCTAGTTCAGAGCTTTTAAACAAGATATTACTTATGATTATAGCATAAGATCACGTGAAATTAAATGATTGATAAAATTTTGTATTACATAGTTACGTTTCTTTTGCTCGCCACTGTATTATAAATTAATAATTAATTCTTATAAATAATTAATAACTAATTAATATATTATAAATTATTAATTAAATATAAATCTGTCATATTTAATATTTTATTACTTTTTAAATAATATAATTTATTTGCAAATAATATTTTTGTAAAATAAATGAATTAATTATTTTAGTAATGATTCTGCAGAAGTATCTGATATTGTAGTAATTCTTAAATAACGTAAAATTGAAATATTATTAACTATATATTTTGAAACTAAAGCTAATATTTTTTTGCCTATTAATACTGTATTACTTTTATCTACTAATAAACTCCAATATAATAATGATTTTATTTTATTAATTACTGCTTCTTCAATTAGACATATTAAAAATTTATATTTACTAACTTTATTTGTATATGTTATATAATTAGATCTAAATATTTTTTATTAATTAAATTGTGATAAAATTAATAATTAAAGTACTTATAAAGGAATATTACTAATTATAGAAGTAGGATATTCTTTTTAATAATTAACTAAATTAGCTAAATTAGATAAATATTAATAGCAATATTTGTAAAATAAGAAAGCAAATATTATATATTTGAGTAATTATACAATTTATGTTTATTTTTAATATTTAATTTCTACCTTCTTTAGTACTAGTTTAATTTATACTAAAAATTTTTAAAGAATTTTTGTGTTCAATTGAATTTTTATGTCTTTTAAAAAATTTAATTTTATAGTTTTATATCTTAATGTTATCTATAAACTATTATCTTTTGCTTTTTAACAAATAGTATAAAATATAAAATTTTTATTGTTAATAATTTAATATTCTAACTAAGATCATTTTATTTAATAAAATGATTTAAAAGTTAAATTTTTTTTAAATGATCAGAATTTTGATTTTTTTATTTTAGTATATTGTAATTTTTTTATTATTATTATGATTGTGAAGACTATATCTAAAAAAAGTATATAATAAATTAGATTGTAATGTAAATAAGAGAATAGTTTTAGTTAAATCAATAGATGTGAAAATTTTATTATTTATTGTGACATTTTTAATCAGAAATTTATTAAAGTCATTAAAAATTATTTATTAAAAATAAAGTAAGTGATATGTAAAAAAATATATAAAAAAAATATATAAGAAAAAAATGTGCTTTAAAAAATTTGACAACTATTCTGAATCTGAATTGATATAATCAAATTATTGATTTTTAAATTATTATTATAACTTATAATTTTATTTAAGAAATTAAATAAATAAAAATAATATTAAAGTTATTTCACAATGCTATTAGCATATCTATTACACTAATAACTCAATTATCATCTAATATTACATAAAATACTTTAAGTATTTTATAAAATACTTGATTTAAAAATTGAATAATACCTGTAGATATTTTATGAAATACAAGTATTTTAAATAGTAAAATACTATAAATGAGAGATACTATAATATAGAATATTTTGTAATAAGAAGTATAAATACTGATTATAAATATAATAGTATATAAAGCTAATTCTAAATTTAATTAATATAAATATGGCATTTATATCTTTAGATTTGCAAAATTTTTTGTATTTTTAATAGATTATATTATTTAGAAAATTTTAATAATTACAAAAGATAAATATAATTACAAGTTCGTAATCTTTAACATATATAGTTTATATGCATCTTATAAAATTCATTTCCAAAATTGAACTGATAAATCCTGCAGTAAATTAATATTGCAATCTGTACTTGGCAGGTACTGAACTAGAATCTATTATATTATAACCTATAATAAGAACTCATACCTTGCAGCATAATCCAGGAATATCAATCTCTTTGCTAAAAAACTTTTATTTAGAGATGAAAAGTGATTGACTTTGACTAAAGTATTTAATTTTCATCATAAAATTTCTGTATTAATATTTATAAAAAAATATATTAAATATATATAAAAATTAAAATCTACAAAAATAAATAAAATTGTTTTTTATAGTTTATATTAAATAAAATAAAAGTATTTTTTTTGTTAAAAAAAATGTTGAAAAATTAATTTTTAATGATATTAATTATATAACTATAACTAATTATGTAACTATAATTAATTATCAAATTAAAAATTTTCATATCATTTTATATATAATCTAAAATTTACTAATTACTTACCATTCTGTAATTATTTACCATCTTATAATTAATTACTACCTTGTAATTATTTAATATATATATCAGACTACTAAATTTAGACTAAAATATGCAAACTTAGTAAAAATTTGCATAAAAATATGTAAACTGATAACCTAACTATAACAAAAAAGTTTTAAAAAATATGCAAATCAAAATCTTATCTTATCTAACATCTCTATAATGGTTAAATATTATTTAATCTTATCTTTATATATATATTTTTGGGTCTTTTAATAGTTAATATTTTCAATTATCTTAACTATTTTTAATTTTTTTAATTTCTTAAAATTTAAAATTTAAAGATATAAATTAATTTATTATTTATTTTTAAATTATATTTAAAAAGTAAAAAAATATTATATCAGAAAATATCAATAACTATCTCTTTATATTATATAAATTATTTAATATTAAAATATTTGTTACATTATATCACAATTCTTAAGTTTCCATTTTATTATTTATTTAAAAAACTTAATTTTTTTGAATGATAAAATCTTGTTTATTACATATATTTATTTGACAAATTAGAGTTAGAATTAGGATTAATTAGATTATTTAGAGTTATTTAGTATTAGTTAGGGTTAAGTGTTAGTATATTATTAAAAAAGAATATTGGTATTATTTGGTTTAAAATAAAAATTTTCTAAAATATAAGGTTATCATAGGAGAGAAACTTTTGTAAAAGCAAAATTTTCCATATAAAAATAAAGTGATCGACATCTAATTACCATATGAATAACATTTGAACCCCTGTAATAGGGACATATCCCATGACTGTTATTAATTAATCCTTACAAATTTAATTTAACAAAATAAATCGGATTTCCATAATGCGAATATTATGATAAAAAAATAATAAATGGAATTTTGCAATTTTCTTTTATTTTAAATAATGTTTAATCAGTATTTTTTCTTTTTTTTGTTTTAATTTTTTTTTTGATTGAATTATTTGACATACATAATAATAGATTTCTGTAAGAAGAAAACAAATATATGTATTTCGTCTTTTAATAACTTAAAAACTCAAAATTAATGTTAATCTATTAAAAAGGTCTAACCAATAGAGTAAATATTCTTTGCATTTTTTGATGATTATTAAAAATAAGCTACACCATATAAAAAATATAGAGAGAATACACCATATATGCTATGGCTTCATATTTCATTATTTGATTGATACAAAATTTTAATCTAGTAAGAAATATTTCCATTCATTTTTACTAAGTCATACGCGTTATTATTAGTTTTTTTAGAGTTAAAATTACTACGGTAAAAAAAAAATTTACTACGTAAATGCAAAATTTTAATATGACTTAACCTTTTCTATCTCAAGAGAAAATATCTAATTCCTTTGTCCGTGTAAAAAAAAAAAAAAAATACAAAATAAACCCATGGAAAATTCATGGAATTTAAATAAATTGTCGATCCTCATTTTGTATATTTAGGCTAGGGAATTTCTTTTCTTTTTTTTTTTCGCACGCTTTCATTGAATCAAGACAAAATGATTGATTTTAACCAAATTTTCGAAGATTACGGTTTAACTTTTTTAAATCACTTTGATTTCACAAAGATTTTGATTGTAACAGCAGTATGTCTCGTCGTACCTACTCTTTATCTGTATAGAAAACGTGCCTCCCGTTTGAATCGTTCGAGTGTGGTTCCAAAAAAAACTATTATTATCGAAAGAACTACTGCCGTCAACACTTCTGAAGCGGACCCATCTACTGATAAAAATGAAAATATTGATATTTCTTCTTATGGAGGATTTATTCCATATATTCGTAAACTTCATGCTGATCAAGGTGTTTGCGTCTCATCAAAGTTACCCTATCCAAATACTATTTCAGTTATCGATCCTATGATCATAAAAGCTACTTTACCAGTTGGTGATCGCCCTATTTATTTGTTTAAATTCTTGGAACCTTTTCTTGGGGAAGATAATTTACAAATTTTTGAGGCCGGGAGAGCTGCTAGATTTAGGAAATTAATTGGACTTTCATTAGGACGTGAAGGTAATTTATCCCTCACGAGGAATAAAACAATGAATTTAAATCCTGGAACAATTATATTGATTATAATTCCTTTGTAAAAGTTATTGTTGCAAAGTATAAAAATATTAGAGATATTGGAATCGAATTGATTCAAAAATGGGAAAAACTCGTGAAGAACAATAAAGATCATGTTTTTAAGATGCAAGAAGAAGGTCTTGAATTTTCTCTGAGAGCTACTCTTAGTGCTGTTATCAGGTATGTTTACATATATTATCGCGTTTATTTTACTAAAAGACAAGTTAACTTTAATTTGTTTATAAATTTTTTAGCACGGATAGACCGGAAGATCTTGATGTAAACGCCTATAAAAAGTCCTACGACATCGTATTAAGTGGTTTATATGATAAACAATTTGGTATATTGAATATTCCACGCGAAGAAGAATTCCAACAGTCTCTCGAGATTTTGAAAAGTTTGTCATGCAACTTGATTGACCAGAGAAGAAAGAAAGCTGTAGAAACAAATGAAGAGGAAACCGGATTGAAAGATTTACTTGATATCCTAGTGTCCAATAATGATCCCGAAACAAAGAAACCATATACTGATAAATTGGCATGTTCATTTTATTTCCTACATCTAACGTTGGAAAGAATTTATTTTGAATATTAATAATCGCGTTTATTAATGATAGATTACATCTATTATTACCGGTTATATAATGGCCGGATATCATACAACTGGTGTTGCAATTCCTTATACTATTTTGTCCTTAACACAAAATCATAATGTTCAAACAAAACTCCAAGAAGAAATTGACAAAACATTAGAAGGTCGCTTACCTACTCTTGATGGTATGAATAAATTTTAGTACAATTAAACCGTAAATACATTTACTACAAACCGTGATCCTAAATCTAATGAGATTACCTTCAATAGATCTTTCCAAGATGGAATATTTAACTCAAGTTGTCAAGGAATCTCTAAGAGTTCATCCGCCAGCAGCTTTCTGCGCTAGATTACTAAAATCCGAAACCATACTTCCAACTCTTGTAGAATCCAAGGGCTTTAAAATACCAGCCAACACAACACTTATTTATCCAATTCCTTTGTTTCATGAAAATCCCGAATTTTTTTCAGAACCCGAAAAATTTGATCCAACACGTTTCTCACATAATAAAATTAAAGATTTTACGCCAAACGCCTATTGTCCTTTTGGTTTCGGAGCAAGAATATGTCCTGCAGAAAAAATTGCTATGGTTGATGTTAAGATGATGATTTGCTTAATTATGCAAAAATTTAATGTGGAATTGGCTATGAAATTGGAAGATGTTGTAAAGGAAGAAAGATTTGTTGTGATGGCAAAGAATGATATTATTATTAAATTAATACCAAGAGAAAGGATAAATTTGGAGTAGGAAATGGTCATAATGTCTACTATTTTTTGGTGAATTTTATATTCTTTTGTTTTAAATTGATTTAGATTAAATTTTTGAGTTGACATTCTGGATACATGATTAAAATTTTTTTTTTTTTAAAAAAAAAAAAAATAAAAAAAAAAAATAAATAAATTTTTTTTAAAATATAAACGAATTTATACAATAAATTGTATAAGCTGCACATCATATATTTTATTCTTTAGTAAATATCGTCATGCAAAAATGTATTTATTTATTAACAAAATTATAAAAGACAATCGCAATCTAAAAAATCTAAAATCAATACCATATCATTATACTACCACACCTTATTAATGCACGTATGATTTAAAGGTTCATTTGATCTTTTCCAGCAGTATTCCGACCATAACCAAGCAACTAAAATTTAGTTTTAACATTGTTTTTTGGCACGTTCACGCTGAGATATTATTTTTTTTTTATTATTTCTGTGGGTTTGGATATACTTTTTGATTTTTTACATTTAAATAACCTTCTAATTGTATTTATTGTTGTATTGATAAAAACGAAATGGTAAATCATGTAAGATTGAATGTAAAGAATTCTGAACGATTTTCAATTAGGTTTTTTTTTAAAAAAAAAAAAGGTAATAACGTCAAATTACATGGGATTATGCGAAAATTAGTGATTAGTAATTACTTATGTATTACTGGCTTATTATATTCTTTCGGTATCGTACTAATATATAGGTTTATGCATTTATATTTTTAAATATAGTTATTTTAAAGCTTCTTAATTGATGTTAATATGGTATATTATTCACAGCTAAATTTACAAGTGTTTGCAAGCTTATAAAGTAGAACCCTTTCGATTAGTTAATTTTGTCTTTTCGAATGATCAACCTTTCTTTTGGAATTAAAATTTTCCTTGTAAGGAAATCAGTCCTGCAGAAAATTATAAAACAGTTCCACAAATGTGAAGTACTTTTTTTTTTGAAACCGCTACACGTGTACATCATAATCATAATACATTACAAATACCAAAAAAACTTTTGAAAATTTTAAATTTGGATAAGAACGTGTAAAGTATCAATATGCTAAGCAAAAAGTCCGACATATTTCATCCACGTCTGAAGTATTACGAATAACAAACATTATTTTTAAAGAATTCACTTTTTTGTTTGCCAAACATATGTGCGTGTTGTATATATGTAACACGCATCAAAGAAACTAATAAATATTTTATAATAAATAAATCCTTAAACTAAGATATGGCTCTATGGTCTAGTGGTATGATTCTCGCTTTGGGTGCGAGAGGCCGCGGGTTCAATTCCCGCTGGAGCCCCGATACATTCTAATAATTTTTGTAAAATCCTTTTTTTTATATAATAATCCTTTTTTTTTGATATCTCCCATCCCATTTGCCAATTTTTTTTTTTTTTTTTAAAGTTTCTAAAATTTCGTCTTCGATTTTTATTTTTTATTTTTTATTGCAACTAAATCCGATTATGTAAATAGATAAATTTTACATTGTTCCCCCCAAAAAATGAAAAAAAGAATAATAAATAAATTATTTTTAAAAAATGATTCTGAAGTTTTTATGAGTAGATCATATATATATATATAGTTGCAAGAAATCTTACTTGTGTAAAAATGATCCATTCCGTTAAAGAAAAAAAAAATGAAAGACGACATTCTTGGGCATGCTTGGATTACATAATAAATTTGGCCCAAATTATTACTGCATTAAAATTTATATAATTTATTCTGACAGTAATGCAATGAACACGTCAAAATTTGAAATAGTGAAAAAATCTGCAATCCTCACATTTCGTGGCGCAACAAGACTGGTTCATTAGAATTAAACACCCCGAGGGACTTACAAGTAACGTTTTCATAAGAAGAATTATTATATAAATTATTATATATTGGTCTTACTACGCCGCAAAAATCAAAACCCATGATTTATTAGTATCGTTAGTATTGGCTTAACATATAATCATCATTAATGCTGTATAAAAATAAAATGATGATCTACGGTGATTAGTTATCACTTTTTTTTTTTATTTCAAAATTTTTATGATGGCTTCTATTAGAAAAGAATTAATTAACGCTGCACTTGATAGGGCCAATGCGTTATTAGATAGTGATATTCACAATGACTTAACCAAACAACATGAATTTAAAAAACAAACGATTCTTCTTGATGAATCTCTTTCGATAGATGAAAAATCAATGGCGATAGTAATATTAACTAAAAGTTATAATCATAATAAAATTCTTTATAATGAAGGCACAAAAAGGTTTTGTGAAGAATGCCGACAAGAATGTTTGGCCACTTTATATTGTGACAATTGTATTCGAAACTATTTAAAAATCAATTTTTCAAGCTGGACGTCAGGAAATAATGATATTGATAAGTTAATTCAACGATGTCAAATAGAATTTCTTCGACCGAGAAAAATACTTGAATGGATACCATATAATAAGTTACAAAATGTTAAGTTTTTGACTAGGGGTGGATGCTCTGAAATTTATTCTGCTGATTGGGTTGATGGTTCATATTCTGAATGGGATTCTAAAGAACGACGATTAAAAAGATTAGGAATGCATAAAGTAATACTCAAAAAGTTAGAGAATGCTAAAAGTGCTAACAGGAATTGGTTTGAAGAGGTATATTTTCTTAAATTTATTAGAAATTTATCGATTCGTTAACAAAAAAAAATCCTTTATTTTTTTTTTTTTTTAAAAAAAAAACATTTTTGTTAGGCAAGTTCACATTTAAATTTAACTAATAAATGGCCAGGATTTGTTAAGTGTTATGGTTTAACCCAAGATACATCAGATGGAAACTACATGCTTGTAATGCATCCAATGGATACAGATTTAAAAACATATTTACAACAAAATCATAAACGACTTGGACGGAAAAATAGAATTCAAATAGCTTATAATATGATTGACGCACTCTATACGATTCATGAAAATAATGAAATTCATCGAGATTTACATTCAGGAAACATTTTATATTTACAATATAATAATACTTGGTATATAAGTGATTTTGGATTCTGTGGACCAGCAGATAAACCATTAAATAGTATATACGACAATCTTCCCTACATAGCGCCCGAGGTTATAGTCGGGAAAGGAACCACCAAGGCATCTGATATTTATAGCATTGGCATTATGATCTTGTTGAGAGAATAATTAATGGTATGAGACCTGAAATCGTATCAGGAATTCCTTCCGAATATGAAAGATTAATGAGACAATGTTGGGATGCCAATCCATTAAACAGACCTAATTTATATACTCTTCGTAACGAAATTAAACAATTATGGAGAAATTTTTATACTGATAATGATATAAATGAATTTAATACTCTAGAATGTAACGTTCCGTCGAAAATTTCTCAAAGTTCAAGTTCTAACTTAAGTAAATTTTATCAATTTGAAAACTTACCAGAGCCAATAAACGCGTGTGAAGGTAAGTTATATTACAGTAATCATATAAAATTTCATTATTTTAATACTTAAATTAAAAATATTAATTTTCTTTTTAATAGGCGAACAAGGAGGTAAATTATTTTTTTTTCAAGAATTATTCGAACATAATTATAATATAATTTACCTTAATAATTAATGTTTTATAGCATTTCATAGCAAACCTTATGATTTTAGTATACCTGATTAATAGTAATTTCATTTGGAAATTAAATTTAATATGCAATCACACCTAATAATTATATAGTTATATTATACTCAATTATGATTTCTTTATTTATATAACCTTAATATGATTAAAGATATTAGTATTTAAGAAAAATATTTTTAAGCTAATTTATAAAAAACTTCTTAATGAAACTGTATTATTATTAATTTTGTTAAACCATTTTTTTAGATATAAAAAAGAATTGGTTTTCTTTTTAACCATAAATTACATATTAAATTTTATAATCATAATATTATTTTAATTTTATTATTAAAGATATATTAAAAAAGAAAATTTAAACAGTGTACCTATGTATTTGATATACCTTCAGGCATGTGATTATAATAAAATATTTGTCATATCATATTATATCTCTCAAGTTTCTATTTTTACTTTTTATTCAGGGAAATTAGTTTTTTTTTAGTGGTAAAATCTTATTTATTAGGATTAAGATTAGGATTAGTTAAAACTAGTTAAGATTAGGTTAATGATGAGGGACGAAACCCCTTAATAACAGTCGAAACTTAGACAAAACTAAATTAAAATCATAATAAGGGATACGATGAAACCCTTTCGATACGACGAAAGCCAAAACTGTCGAAATTATATTAAATACATAGAAAAGGATATGACGAAATTATTTTGAGGAGGTTTCGGCAGGCATCTATAGATTAGGTATTACATATTATTGGTCAAATGTTATATATACATTACATTATATATAAATATATCAAATGCACAATGCATTAAATAAAAATTTTCTAAAAAAATTAAATAAATAATTATTATTCATATAATCTATCCTAATAAGATTATATTAATAATTTAAATATAATATATCTTTTATTTTAAGTATTTTAAAATATTTATATTAAATTTATATTAAGTTTTAATATTTTAAACTATATTTTAATAATATTGTATAATAATATTAATTACCAATTTTTTTTATATAATAGATATATTTAAAGCTTTAAATAATTTATATAAATTTAAATTTTAACTTATATAATTAATAATTTTCATTTTAAATATAAATTTAGCTATAAAAATACTTTAAAAATTAATGTTTTTTTTACTTATAATTTAACTTAATTTGATTTATAAAAGCTTTAAGTATATAAAATAAAATAAGTATTTATATTATCTCTTAAAATATAAGATTTTACAGACAAATTTGCCTGCTTATTTACTATAAATTTATTTTTGATTTATTTTTATGAAAAATTAAAATTTTAAAAAAATTTTTTTTATAAATATATATAATATTATAATATTATAAAATTTATCATGAAGAATAACTTTAATTATTATAATTTTTATAATTTACTAAAAAATTTTATGACTTTTATTAGTAATTAAGTAATTTAATTAGTTTATAAATATATAAATTTTAAGATATTTAAAACTTAACTTTAAAATTAAATTATTTAAAAAACCTTTTTAATAAACTTAAATTTTTCTAAGTAAGTTAATAAAATATATACTAAACTATATTTTTTATATAATAATTATATTATTAAAATTAATATTTTATATTTTATTAAAAAAATTTATACTTTTTTTTATGTTTACAAGTAAATTTGCCTGCTTAACAGTTTAAAGAATATAAGATTTTTCTTTAAATTTACTATATTTATTTAAATTAACTAAATACAAAAAATTTATTATAATTATTAACTAATATTTTATTATCTTAAACTAGTTTAATTAATTTTAAGTTTAATTTAATCAAATTTATCAATTTTATCATAGATTTTATTATACAAATTTTTAATATTTTAGGTGGTAGTATTATTATTAAAAATTAATAAATTTAAATCTATTTTTTTATTTAATTTTTAATTACTTTATAATTTAACTATATATTTTTTAATATTAAGTAATAAAAGCTATAAATTTTTAAGTTTAAATTTTGATAAATTTAATTAATATATTATTAGTTAATAACTTGTATTTTATAATAAAACTATAAAATTCTTTAAATTAAAACTTTATGTATTATATAATATTAATCTACAAATGGGAGCTAAGCTATTAAAATCACCTTACAGGACCTACCAACCAAAATTGAGATTTTTGATTCATATTATTATATGATCTATAAACTTTATTCGGTTAAATTTTTATAGTCGATTATTTTATTAACAAAAGCAAGCAATAAGGCTATCAAAAATTTCTCATTTTTTGTGTAATATCAGTCAAAAAATCTAAAATTAGAATTTAGAAATGATCAACATTATTATTTAAAAGTAAAAAAAGTTTCAGACCCTTATAAAATTCAAAATTTTTAACTTTAACCATTATTTGAATGTGTAATTAAATGGGAGCTATTTAATGATGAATACCACAGTAAATATATATATTTTTTTTAAAAAAAATAAATATAAAAAATAAATTTTCTAATAAATTAGTATAACAATATCCTGTAAGGTAATTTTAATAGCAAAATCTCAAGTGATATGAAATTGTATTCCTGTAAAAATAATTTTTATAAAATAAGAATTAATAGTAAAATTTTAAATAATAAATTTTAGTATTGTCTTATTAAATAATTTGACTCAATATTTAAAAATAGAACTATTTATTATTGGTTGGAAATGTTTACTGTGGCGTAGCATTTTTTTAATCATCATTTACTCAAAATCAATTTCTTATCCCGTAAGGTGATTTTAATAGCTTAGCCCCCATATCCTCTATTCGTGTTACTCTTTCAGCAAATTTTTTCTTTTTCTGAACTATACAACTGTTACACCATTTGTAAAATAACCATGTCCCACAACATTGCAAATACAAGTACTTCTACGAGTGCTCTTATGGCTAGTTTTCTGATAGTTGAGCAAGTGAAAGCATGGAGTCGAGATGACATTAAAACATTTTTATAAGAGAACAGAACTAGATTAGATCTTGAAGACGAAGACATCAATAAAATATATACTCAAAGGGTTAAGGGTAATACTTTCCTGGAATTTACTGTAATGAATTTCAAGAGATGGGGAATACCAGATAGTTCAGCTAAAGAAATCAAAAAGTTAATTAATGAAATTAAAGGAGGTAAGTGAACTTCATTCTTGTCTACATCGTGTCATATATGCCAATAATACTGAATACTTACTTATTCTTGTCAAACTCGCTCAAAAAAACACATTTGCATTATTATAGAGCAATCTGTTGCTAGTTAGTGAGTCATAATAAATTTGGTCAATACGAGTGATCGCGTGTTTGCTTGATTTTTTATTAGTTATTTAGTTATGTAACATCTAATACATAATCTTATACTTTTTTTACTTTATCCTCAAAAAAAAATTTCCTAAAAACACGATTCATATAGGAGTTAGAAAAAAAATCACTAATGCTTTTTCTGGAGGTATGTATTAAGCAATTTCTGCAAAAAAACATACCATTCTTATGTTGACTGCTACTATTCATATGTCAAGCTTACCATATGTAAAACCAGAACCTTTGCTTTACACTTCCAGTTCTAATTGGAAATATCAATCTGACCTATCTTTGAAGCAGATCTTACGAAGAGAACTTAAAAATCATTATGAAAATTTTATTTTAGGACGCTTTGACAAATTGAATCTCCTGATATATCTCTTCCTTTCCAGAGCTAGTATCAGAAAATCTCGAAACGCTAATGAATTTCACTAAATAGCAATCACATGTTTGCCAGTTTAAGAAGATAAGGAGCTGTTGATTAGGATTAAAGAAGCTTGGGTATTCCTTGTCAGCTATGAAAATGGCTTCGTCTTACAATCAGATGAATCCCACCCTTATTTTGCTATTAGTACTCGTATGTTATTTTAACTTCTCAGAGAGAAAATGAGGCTTCATGAAATTATCAAGACATACAAACCACCAGATCCGCTGGATATTGTATCAGTGATTGCTAAACACTATAACTGAAACTTGAAAAATGTTATAGTCATTTTAGTCGTTAACGGCATGCAACAACTAATGGAGAACAAAGATGATAGTTTAAAGTTAAATTCTTAGTTTTACAAGACTCTGATAACTGTTGCAGATCTTGTATTTAGTGGCATTTTCGTGATACCCGTTTGTATCTTAACTATCACTGGGCTGATTGATAGTATGTTGAGATATTCACCACGGAAATGTATATACTTACCGGTCACCTTTCTACAACCTCCAAGTTATCGACAAGAAGATAGTTTGGTACTGATCTTTAAAAATGATGAGATTACTAATACTCTTGTGAAAGACTGTGGAGGGCATAGAAGAGCTTTAGAAGCTCTGAATGATTGCTTGGCTAGTCGTAACGTTGAAGAATACAACATTAATACTCTGATGAATGATCTGCATTATAACCTTATTAAAAAATACCATGATGCTATTCTTGATTCTGTAGAAGACGCCAGGCCCATTGCTCAAGCAATATTGATTCGACGTATCTTAAATAGATATAAGCCTATTCTTAAAACTAATAAATCACCAGATGAATTTGTTGGGAGTAGATTAATTCGATTCGAACAATTAAGTAGTAATAGTCGAAGGAAGTATCTCACTGCATCATACATCTGGCTCTGGATATTTGTAGAGATATCTAATGAAGAAGAAGATCCATTACTTCGAGATTGGGAATTTGCTGATTATAGAGAGCAAAGAGCACTCTTGAATCCAATATCATCATTGCAAGCGAAGTCATGGCAAAGTTTTAAAAATTTTGTCACGTTATTTCGTTATATAAAGTCAGCTGTTATTGAAGAAGATGAGCTAACAACGATCTCAGAGGTTCATGTAGGAGTACGTTTGAATGGTGATATCTAATTTAAAAATCACAATCTATGACTTGAAATTGCAAAACATCATACAAACATAAATTCTAAAAGTCTCATTACAAGCAAATGGAGTGTTGATTGCTATAATTCTACCGTTGTTGTTCGGCAATTCAAACATTATATTATTAATACCCTGGCTTCATCATATGGAGACTCCTTCCTTTCATTAGATCAGCTGGGTACTGAGAGTCTGAATGAAATCCACCAAGTCAAATTACGAAAAAAAGCAGTCAGTAAAAAAGAATACCAAGAAGAACGTGAAAAATCTGCATCAGAAAATGATTTTTTCATCTTCTTTACAACTGCAAATTGTAATATTGAAATTTTGAAAAGGTCTGGAATTGTAGATAGAAATGCCTTTATGAACTATTTTGGACTATTCGCTGGAAAAGCATACAGATCTGCTATGGCTAATCCCTCTATCTATAATAATAAGGTCAAGAATATCTATACTGTTTCTCTTGAACAAATATGCAATATGAATCAAATTAGCAAAGAACGAGTGAATGCAAAAATAAAAATACTAATGAGGAATTTTTATTTCTGAAAAGGTCTTCACATGATTTCTCGCATTTTACCCCGATTCATGTGATTACAAATTAGGGTGAATTATAATAAATTAATTACTGGTATAGAGATATTATATACATATCATAGAAATTTTTAATCATTTTTTGCTCGTTATCTCATGCTATTCTTGTAAATATTTGTAAAGTTAGTAAAATTACTGCCTATTTCAAACAATAAATTTCATGTGACTAGATGTTATTCGTTTACCAGTGTGATAATTTGTCACGTGCTCATCAGACATTTGTTTTTTCCAGATATGCTCAGTCTAATTATTTACTATTTACTGCTTTTGAATATAAACGAAGTGAGTGAACACTGTGACAGGTACAATGATCCAATTATATAATTGCCAAAATCTTAGTTCAATACTATACTACACCACATGATCCATTCATTCTTCTGCGCAATTTTGACGTACTCAGACATCTTGTTCAGACTCTATTATAGTATTTTTTTTACATGTGCATTTTTAAACATATATTAATAAAGCATTTTTCATATCGGGTTTTATTTTAAAGAGTATTCTAGTGATCACTACCAAATGTAATATAATGTACTTTTGCTGAACACTATGAAAAATAATTTGCTATTCCTAATAAGATTTTGAATAAAAAAACTATGACTAATTTTCTGATTATTATGCTATGTAATTAATTCATTTTTCTGCACAATTTTGATGAGCCTGAACACCTGTATCCAGACTCTACCATCAGATATTTGGTTGTTTTGGGAGATAAATTTAACCAGATGTTGATCTCACTTCTGTGCAATTTTGATGAGCTTAGACATTGTGTTTAGATTTTACCATCAGAAAAAATAGCTGTAATAATTTTTCCAAATTCCTAAAGGCTATCCAGCTAAAGAAAAAATCTGAAATCTGATTGGCTAATCATCTCGTGATTTATAGAAACTTCGATGATTTTTTGTAATACTAAATGGTAAATTTTGTGTGTGATAAAAAATAATTTTGTGATTTGCGGTGATAGCAAATTTTATCAATTATGTGTAGTTTTGCAGCACATTTTAATAAAATAAGTGAATTTATGTGCGAAAAAAATTTATTTATTTATAATTTGTAAAATTTAATCAATTATAATACAATATATTAAGTTGTTTTAATGATTCTTCAGATAAACTTTGACGATTAGAATCTAAAAGTGAATTATATAAGGAAAAATTACATTCAACTGCACAGCTTGAGATTGGCAATCAAATATAATCTAATGTGATATTAGAAAGAATTGGTAAACTAACAGAAAAAATTTTCTAATAATCATCTAAGTTAATTTCATCCAAATTTTTATTAAATTCCAATCCACAATATATTGTCTATTCACATAGTAAACTATTAGAAGGTTCATCAAGTTCTATATTGCTGAATAATGACGAATATTCTTTCTTTGAATATTTCCTAAATGAATATATCGTGGGTTAAAAACTTAACATGCATAAAAAAGTGAGCGTGCAGGATGATTAGGAATGTGAGCTGAAAACTTGTCATATGCTATTTGAAAAGCATAACGAAATATTTGGTAAATATGATCAGGATTAAAAGAATGTTGTTGAATTATATTTTCAATTTCAGAACCCAAATAAGATGCATTAATATTTGAATCAATAAATACTGTAAATTGCTGTAATCAACCTTCAACAAAAGGAAAAATTGACTTGTTTTGTTGTTAAAAAAAATCCAAATCTTGCTCAAATTCTTTGGCATAAATTGAAATAAAGTAAATATAAATTGTAATAATACCAATATCTTATGGATCTTGTAATGTTGTGTAGATAATTTTTATTATTTCATTTTGTGATTCTTATTTATACTCATGTTTAAAAAAATCAGTCCAATACTGAATATGATCTTTTGCATAAAACATTATTCTGAACCAACTATTCCATCAAGTTTGATTTGAAAGTGGAATTTTGCAAGGAGAATTAATGCATTCATTTTAAGATGAATTATATAATGGTTTTTTCGTGCAGGTAATTTGACAAATGATTCTTTGATTTTAGCTAAAAAAATCTTTAATTGTAAAAATTGCAGTAAATCTCTCCAAGTCTTTCTAATTAAATTAATTATTATAAAAATTCATTAAAATATGCAATTTATTTTCAATTTAAAAAAAATCATGCAAAATTCTTATTCAATAAGATTTAATATATATGCTGAACATGGCATATGAATTAGCTGAAGCATAACTGACTTTAAAATTTCGCGAAAATATTTTTTTATGTACGCAGCTGAATCAGAAAGAAATAAACGTGAAATACTAAGGGATATATTATAAGAGTGTAAAATGGAAAGAAGTGTTTGTCCAATAGTTGTATTGTTAACATATTGTAAAAAATTAACAGAAACCAGTTTTGTATTTTGACGATAAGCAAAAAGTGTATTAATAACACTACATGCACAATCATTACTAAGCTTATCCATTATAATACAAATGGATTTTAAATTAAAAATTGAAAGAAGAAATTTTACATGGTTTTCAAAAACAGAAGGTAAATATAATTAGCATAAGGTTGGAGCTTAAGGAATTACTCCTTCTTCTTTATGATATTTTTTAAAAAAAGGAAGAAGGTGATTGATTTTTTCTAATGAAATATTTACACTTGCAAATGCTTGAATTAAATTTTCTACAACTTCTCTTTTGGAATCAGCTGCATGAAAAGTTGTTTCTAAAGTTTGTTAGTTTTTTTTGTTTTGGTTAGTTTCATAATTTTTTTTTTGCGTCAAGTGTTTTTTTCCTAAACAATGAAAATCTACTGTTGATTTATGTTTCCATTTCACAGAAAGGTCACAATATTTACAAAACAAAAGATCATTTTCAATATGAAAAATATCTGGATATTCTTTAATTCTTATATAAATAGTTATGGTTTTATTAGTTTTAGTGTATTTTCTAGATGACATTTCTATAGTAAAAAAGAGATCGATAAATCGATAATCAAAAATTTTTTTTGTGATTCATTTTTTTTTTAAGTGTGGTAGTTTCGCTGAATCTTTATTATGATAAAAGCAGATATTTATATATTTTTATAGATAAACTAAAAAACAAAATAAAAACAAACTACAAGAAAAAACAAAAATCTCGTCTAAAAATTAAATTTTTAAAGAAGACTGACCTTGCATTCCCTTAAAATCAAATCTAACCTAAGCTAAATATATCACTTTTTGGGAAAATAAACGAATAAAAGAAAAGAGGGCATGATTACTACTGCACCAAAAATTTAACTAATATGAGCCTAAGCATATCATGGTAGCAATAGAATTTGATCTGAAGGTATTGTGAGTAAATCTGGAAAAGAGGTTATAACCTGAGATTCTAAAATCTTTCTTTTTTTTCGATGGTAATATTTGCAGAGATTTCAAGCTCTTTTTGTATGATGCATCTATCTATCCAAATCTGTTGAGTTTGTTTATAGATAAGATGCATAAATGAGGAACAGGCTGCATTAGTTAATTGCATTGAATTCATTTGCTATGCATAAAACAGCATAGTTGTAAGAGAACTATTCCTTTGATAAGCGTGAAATAGGATATCAAGTTGTAAGTATAAAGCTACCAATAAGATAATTGTTCTATTTCGATGTCATTTGCGTTGATAATAAATTTTAAGTAATCTTTGAAGTTGATTATGATTGTTTTTATTTCATAGTTAACAATTGGACGCATTCAAATATGATAAAAATCTTCATCAGCTGCTTTACATCAAGGATATAAAAGAGATGATAGATAAAATATCAGATGTCTAATTTTCATAATTTCTAGTGTGGGAAGCATTTCTAACATTCATTGATATTTAGCTTTTCTGATTGCTGAGGCAACATAAAAGGTATACCCTGTAGCAATATTATCATTTAGTGAGAATGAAGTGACAATCCAGTGAAGACGGACAACTATGACATTTTTGAGAGAACTTCTAAGTTACTTAGATTCAAGATTGAAGATTCTCTGTGTAGTTCTTTTATGAATTAGCGTATAAGGATCGATATATATGAGAATACCATAAAGCTTTGTTAGAGTTAGAGATAAGAAGTTGTAAAGTAGAGGACTGATTGCAATTTTTTGTTAATTCATCAACTTTATTATTGTAAAAATTGTTAGAATGTGCTCTGACTTTAATCAGATATACATCCAGGTTGTTTTTTGATATGACATCAAATAGGCAAGACCAATTTGCATAATTATTGATTTTAAGGAATGGGTGAAAGGTAGGTGAGAGGTAAAGGAGATTTTTAAATTTGTTGAACTGGAATATGGTAATCGCTCAGTCAGTGTAAATTATCACTTTACAGTGAAATGGCATAGTGATAAAGCTGAAAAGACAGCTGTGAATTTAGAAAGCGAAGATGAAGAAAAACCAGTAATAAAAGGTATGATAAAGGAACACATTGGTGAATCAGGATGAGTTTATAACTATGCTAGACTCATTTTAATAGATGAGGTGCTAAGGTCGCAAAAGAAACCATCTGTATAAAATTTTAAAGTAGTAAAGTTAATAAATTGCTGAGTAAAATCCTGTAACTGGGTATTAAAAGGTGAAGAAACATATTTATCTAGTAAATTATTGTGTAACTGTAGAATAAAAGGTTGGGAAATGATTATAAATGAAGGATTAAAATGAGAAAAAAAGCTAGTGAGTGCAAGTTCATGTAAAGCTTTAACTGAAAGAACTGTGTGAAGAACATCCATGTATTTATTCTTGAATTTAATCAGAATTGAGGTACAAAGACTGTAAGGTAGGATAAGAAAAGACTTATAAAGATCAGATTCCAATTTCTTTGTATCTTCATGATGTATAGAACAATGATCACAATCTTTGAATATTGTGTAGTAACAAGGGCCTACTATTAGTAAACAGTGTTTGATATGTACAATATTATTATTAATGTGAGTAAGATGGCCTGCGATGAATGATTAAGTAGCATTATCTCATATTTAAAACTATTTATTAGTAAAAGCATTCTATACTCATCGATTAATAGCAGGTTTTCAATAGTTGTAAACCAATTGGGTGTCATGTAAGTCTTTTTTTCAGAGTTAATAATAGTACAGAGGTTATTGTATGTTAATATATATTTACTATGACAGTTAAATAATTGTTCTACATAAAAAACTAAGCATTGACAAAGGTTTCTGGTAAAAGCTCTATAATTAGTTAGAATAATTTCATGAATAGTATGCTATATTTTGGTGAAATATGTGAAACATTTAAGGAGATGTTCAAATGTTTCATATTACATAGAGTAGACAGAAGCCAATCATCATTTTTCTGTGTCATATCATAAGGCCAAAATATCAAAGGACTTTTGTGCAACCATTTTTTGATTTATAATTGTTTGATTCTTATAAGAAAAGTAAGTCCTAAAATACTAGTTTCATTGGTCATTTGTAAGAGTGCTTAGCTGAAGTATTGAAGAAGTTGTTGTTGTAACAGGATGATATTGTAAAAATAATGTGAGTTAACAGATCAGAAGGTGTAACTCGTGAAAGTTTTAGCTTTCTTTTTAAGAATGCGGTAAATGTGACTGTTAATACTTTACATTGAGCTTCTGAAGGAAGCATAAGTTGAGATCTATATTTAATCCACGAGTGGATTACTATGTTATATATATAGATTATTTGTGAATCAGTTAACCTTTTGTTTTTCATAATTGTGATAGCATTTTTAATTTCAGCGTGCAGCTGTTTTACAATAAAGTTATTATTAGGTTTTAAAGATATCTATATATCTAGATATCTAATGCTATCAGTTGAGTGATAAGGGATCAGCTTACAATGTTATTGATTACATTGGATAATAAAAGGTTGTGATTGATAAGTATTAACTAATAGTTCTAATTTTGACCAATTAACTTGAATATCATTAAAGTTAAAAAAACTATTAGCAATTAAAGTAATGTGTGATAAATCCTCTTTGGATTTAGCCACTTACAAAGTGTTATCCATAAATACTAAAGCAGAAATTTTACATTATTGAGATGTAGTTTGGGTGGAATGAACGTTAGGACGCTATTACACATTCATATTATTACTATAGGAAGAGTTGTTAATTTTACATAGAAGTGGGTTATAATAAATACATCACAAAAGTGGTGAAATTACTTCTCCTTGGTCGATCTCTGAATGAACTAGATATGTATCAGTATTTCCATGTGCTGTGAAAACTTGGTTAAAATGGGGTATAAAATTCTAATGATGATCTAGATGAATGAGTACAGAATTTTGAAGCGTTTGAGGGTTTTACTAGTATGAAGATATTAACACGATCATAAGCTTTAAATATATCTTGAAGAAGCATTCAAAGTTCTTGGTTGTTAAATAATGCATCTTGTTTGACATGATTGATTATATAAATAGGGTTGAACGTCGATTTAAAAGGCAGTTCAGCAAAGTTGAATCTTTAAGTATATTGTGTTTAGTAAAAAGAGAAACCAATTAGGCATTCAAAAATTTTATGAAAGCTTTACTTGGGCATTCTAACAATATTATAGGTTTGGTATTATTTAGATCAAATTGCCATAGTTTGGGTTTTGGAATCAGGTATACATAAGCCATATTCACTCTTAATAAAATTGAGGATATCTGAAGACATCCACAAATAATATACCAAGAGACTTTTTTTCCTACAGGGCTAAGATGTTTGAGTATTTCATTGGATATTTTTGAGGAGTCAGCAGCCTTATTATTTAGAAGTTGATCGATGACTCTATATCATTCGTCTGCTGTAAACAATAAAATAAGATTGTTATAAATCGACGAATCAATATTGGGTATAGGTTGATAGGCTGATGTCTATTTATCTGAAATAACTTTATTTTCGTGAGTTATACCAGTTACTTGTTAAAAGTGGCAGGCAACTTCTCTGTAAACATCTGTTTCGTCTATAAGTAGATCAAGTGAGGAACTTGTGTTGTCAAGATATTTATCTAAGATAATAAGTTTTCTTTTTTTATTTAAAACAAAGTCTATCATCTTTCTTGGATCAGATTTATAATCATCAATTCAATCTTGTAAGGCTTGTTGTATACTAGAAAGCTTGAAATTATGTTCTTTGAGTTTAGCCTTTGTTTGTAAAGAAGCTATTAATAATTATATATCAAGTATAACTGATCTAATATTAAATTTAGATTTATCTTACTAAAAAAATATATTTAGCTTATAAAGTAAAAAAATTTTTTTTAGTAGTTTTCTCTCTTTTTATTATAAAGCATTTAAATATTTTAAGAAATTTTAAAATCTATATAAAATTATTTAACTAATTTTAAGCTTTAGAAAAAATTTTAATTATAATTATTTATTATCCTTTTAATTATTTTACCTACAAATTTGCAAGCAATTTTATTATTAATTACAATCATTTTTAATTATTTTTAAATATTTTAAAATATATTATTAAAAAAATTAATACTTTTATAATAAATTTTATGATATTTTCTAAATAAAATTAAGATAAATAAATAATAAATTATTATAAAAAAATTAAATTTTTAAATTACTATCTATCAATTTAAAAATATAAAATACTACCATTTAATAAGTCTTAATATAATGAATGTAATAAATTAAATTTATATTTTTGTAATTAATAAATAATAAATTATTTTTAAAAATTAAATGATTAAAAAATTAATATATATTAATAATTATTAATTTTAAAAGATTAAAAATACTATCATTAGTAAAGATGATCACCACAATTAAAAAAATAGCGTAATTGAGTTGTAATTTGTGGCGCAATTAAATTTCCTTATAGCACAATTAAGTTGCAACTCAATTAAAATTTGAAAATAATTATGGGACCATCTTTAATCATTAGATACATCATAATATGATAAATCTAAAATTTTTATTTCATTTTTTTATAATCATTAGATATCAAAGTATTTTAATTTTTTTTTTTAAAGATGCCTTTACTCTGAAGGTAAATTAAGGTAGGATTCTAGTGAATAACCTACTCATATCCTTAGGTCTTATGTGAATAAATAGCGTTTAATCTTATTATGTATATTTCACAACAGTTGCTATCAGTATTGTCTAACAGTTACTAGTTTTGATATCAGTTTTCCATATCAATTAACTCCTATTCAAATTTTAATTGATTATCAGAATTGGATAGAGGGCTCACTTCAGCTACATTAATTAACACACTATTTTACTAATTATTTATAGGGTTTTACTCTATTATTAATTTCAAGACTAAGGGATCAGATTCTTTTATGAATAGTAGCTTTGTACTAATAGTGTCAAATTCATTCAGGAATTAAACCTGACCTCTAACCCTAATGATAATAAGATCTGACCCATAGCTATAATATGCAAGTCAATTTGTAGTACACTTTAGATCTACTAATTACTGGTTAATCACTTTCTTACTTGTAAAAGGGCTTCTGAGTTTGAAAACATGAGACAATATCCATTACAGACCTATCAGCGATGGTTAAGTTTCTGTTTATCTCTGGCTTTATTTGCATTCACTTATTCTTCAAACCCAATATTTAGGTATGATTAACATAGATTGATAGATCAATCTATCAGTTTCTAATGTATATTAGTCTATACGCTTACATATTCAGTTACATATGAAATTCTTATGAAAATCATCTAGTTTTATACCTCAGCTGAGGCTTGAACTTATGGCTATCACAGTATAACTTACAATAGGAGCTCAGTTGTTATCAACTGAACTAGGAATGCTAATCCTTTATCAAATATTTTAAGTTTTTTAAAATGTTTTAGAAACAATTTTATACTTAGAGTTTAAGGGATAATTAATTTATATTAAATTAATTAACTTTTATATATTATTAAATATATATTTTTAGCTTAAAATAAATTTTAAATCTGACTTTCGTTTTAATTAAATTCTATAAAATTATAAATGTTCTTAATTATTATTTATCTTTTTATATTTATTGATCAATAAACAGTTTGTATTATTAAGAGTAAATTTATAGTAAATGATACATTAATTATAAAAAATCTGAAAAGAAAAACCTTTAAAAATAAAATAATTCATTTTTAAAATTATACTTTATCTTTATTATAAAGTTACTTGTATTATATTATTATAGAATCATATTTTTGTTTAAGCTTAATTGAAAATCTTAATTTAATTTCAAAGAATAACCATTTGTTTGTGATTTCCGAATAACGAACATAAACGAGAGATAAATTAATTATAATTATTTTTCTTAATTTTACATTTTGCCATATAAAAAAATCTTAGAAGGTCTAAAATCAGAAAGATTTAATAGACGACCAAAGTAAATGGCTTTTTCGTGATACGGTTCAATATTATTAAATTTCAAATTCACTATATTTTCTAAATTTGAAAATTTAATCTCTTCTGCAGCATCGAATTGATTTGATAAATCAGATGGCTCAGGATCATTACAAATTGCTGTGACCCATTTGTCTAAACAATTGTAAAGCTGAGATGCTGTTGGTCTATTTGAAGGATTATAATCCAAACATTCGTACATTAATTTAGCAAAAACAGGTGGTGTTCCACTGACAACACTTGGTTTTAAGCCTGAGCCGATTTCTCGAACAAGTGTTAAATCATGGTTTCTGTTGCAATATGGACGTACATCTGCTGATAACATCCACATAATCATGCCAAAACTGTAAATATCAGATTCTTTTGTTGGCGTGTTTCCATTAAAAATCTCTGGAGCAACGAAAGGTATTACTCCGTAGATTTGCTTTGTCGATATATCAGCGGGAACAGGTAATCCGGTATCCGAGATTCTAGCATCAATTGAATCCGCTTCGTTTTCAACCAATATATTTCCTCCATGTAAATTTCCATGAACGAGCCCAGTTTCATGAATAAAATTAAGACCGGCTGATATGTTAAATAGAATTTCTACGATATCTCTCCAGCAAAGGGCTCCCAATGACTGATCAAGATATGAATATAAATTGCCTTGCTCGTAATACTTCATAATGAGCATGTAATTTGATGCTGGATCTTTAGTCATCCCAAAGTAGTCCGCAAGTGTACTACTTTGATAACATCGGCGATATTTATATAACTGTTTAATTAAAAATTAAGGACAAAAGAAATATAAGGAAACGGACTTTGTTTAAAATTGATATTATATCCTGTAATGATAATAGAACACTCACTTGATTTGCAAATCCTTGACTCAAGTTTTGTGTATCACTTAAACGCTTTAATATAACTTTAATGGGTCCGTTACGTAACCACGTTTTGGCATCTTCGTCAAATTTACATTTCGGGCCTTCTATCCATACTGCGGAATAAATTGGACTGAAAGCGCCTCGTTTATTAATGATCTTGACTGATTTAAATCGATCGAAATTAATCCATTCCAGATGGTTCGTATTTTCAACAAATTCGTTTATTATAGAATTTCCGCAATTTTGTTGTATATCGCTATGGTCATAGGTATGAGATTTATTATCGTCCATTATCGTTATGAAGAAACTCTACAAAATTGAGTGATAGATCCTTCTATTTATATATTGTGTGTGTAGGGGGTATATTCGAAATCTTCACGAAAAATTTTTCGGGAAGATTTCGAACACATACTCCGTACACACATCAATTTACGCTTATATAATAAATAATATATTGTTAAATGATTTTATAACGCTGTGGTGAAACATAAATGTTATCTTATCTTGCTGTTTGTGTTGTGTTTGTTACCTGTCAATAATTTAAATCATTTAATGCAAATGCATTTAATCAAAAATATACTTGCTTAGATTAATTAATATTATCCTAATTTAGTGAAGTATTGATAATTGCATCATGTATATATTGATAAGTTTGTTTAAATCGACAATCTTAGTGCATAGTAAATCGTTTTGCTTATCTTATCAGCTCTGTCAATGCGTTTCAGACCAATCTTTCGTGTGACAATTTTATCCATCAATGATACCGTGTTCTTTATGTTAATCTCTAAGGTACTCTTTATACGGTCAATGAATCTGATATTACACAATTAACGCGAGTCGTATTTATTTTCCTTCTCCGAAACGATAAGATCAAAACATTTCATTTTATCAAGTAGGTGCATGTCAAAATTTAGATTTTGATCAAAAATTTTTATCAGATTGTTTATGCACATAGATAACGAATGTGAGAATTTGAGAATTCAAAGTTTTTCGTTTTAAATGGATTATTTCCTATGAAAAATGTCCGGTATGAAACTTTAAATTTCTCTATTTATGGTCAGTAATTAACTTTGCGCAAATTTTTGTTACACAATTTCATATTTTAACGTTTTATTCGTAAACTTTGTTGATTCTATAAGTTCCAATAAATCATGCTCATTTACGCCTTCGCAGGAAACAGAATTTACGCCAATTCTTGTTTTAATTGAATAAAGATTTAGCGATAACACTATATGAATGATAAAAGAAGTACAAATTAAGTTTTAGTTATTGACGTTTTGTTTTGTTACATATAATAATTTTATTTTATTTAGACGATCTATCTTTTCTTTTATTCATTTTATGCATTGTAATCTTGTTTTGTGAGAGCGACAAATTCCGGAAAAGTTCCAAAGCTTGTCCGGAATAACCTCGACAAAAAGCATAAAATGGGTCCCCGAGAATTCTAACTATGAATTTCTAATTCCTTTCTTTTTTCTAGCAAAAGAAAATTTTCCAAATTTTGATTAAAGTTACAACTTTTGTTTAATCCGTAATTAGAGCCGCCTGGACCAAAATTATAATTTAATTTATATATTAATTTAAAATAATAATAGTTGATTTAATTATTCTATATAGTGATACAAATCAACCTCAGCCTAATTGACCAAGCTAATTGAATACAGACCATTATATTCTATACTTAATAATTGTTATGTTCTAAAAAAAAAAAACTAATTATATATTATTATGCATGATTCTAATTATAGTTCTATTTATTTTTAATAATAACGCTACGATATCAAAATTTATAATAATGTAATATCAGCCGTTACGATACTGCGCCTCGTTTTAAAATTTTTTAAAAAAAAGTTAGTAAACTCTTTGTTTTAATTTTGTTATATAAACTTTGCAGAAAATATTCTTTTAAACAAAATGTTTGAACATAAGCGTAAAATGAAAAATCCTAATAAAACAAATGAACAATCGAATTTTTATAATGTATGATCCAAATGGTACTAAACGTACGCGCATAAGTCATACTACTCCTCGCGAAATTTTATTTCCTCAAATATCTTCCCTTTCATTTTCTGAGCAACAACCCTTCTATTAATGTATTATCAACTATCAAACATATTCAACCAACAGGACGTAAATCTAGTAGGGTATGGGATTATGTTTATACTAATATTAATGATGGATACAGACATTGTCAAGTTCTAGTAGAAAGGAATGGCAAAAACTATTTGTGGAAATCAGTTTAGACCTTCCTGTTCAACAACTAATATCGGAAATCATCTAAATAGAATTCAACGAATTTATGTTGTTAATAATCCTGAA